CTAATTTATGATGGATTATCCACGAAAATGCCGTTGCTAAACTTAGCGACAGAATTTATTCAGTCACTAATTAGCCACAGAATTAGCTACGTAATTTTTTCCGTTAGAAAATTTCATGGCTAATTCCGTGGCTAAAATATAATATTTAATATAATAAATATAATAAATATATAATTAAATTATATATCTTATGAATGTTAAATAAAAGAATTAAATTTATGAAAAAATTATTTACTATTTAAAATTCAAAATTAGTGTCATTGGGAATTAATATTATATCTAAAATAATTTTTTTAAAAATAAAGCATTATAAAATAAATAATAAAACAAATATCTAAAAATTATTTTGTTACAAAAATAGTTATGATTAAAATTATCATATAGTTTATTTTTAGTTTCTAATAATATATATGTGTGTGTATAATTATTTGTGTAAGAGAATATCATATATATTTAATTTTGCATAATAAGTCAGTAAGTTCATTGCAGTTCAACTGGTGAAGTCGCACGCATATACAAACGAGGTCTTTGGTTCGAACTATGGAGAAGTCACTTTGAAGAGGAATTATATGGTGGCGACATGCAGCAATACAAGGTGGCATGTGAGATAGCGACACATGACGATAGAGGTGAGGTGGCAGAGACACGTGGAGATGAAATCGTGACACGTGGCATGGAGTTGAGGTGGCAGCGACACGTGGCGGTAGAGGTGAGGTGGCAATGACACGTGGCGGCGGAGGTGAGATGGAAATGACACGTGGCGGCGAAAGGTAAGGTGGCAGCGACACATGGAGATGAGGTGGTGACATGTGGCGGCAAAGGTGAGGTGGCATTTTAATTTTTTTTTAAAAAAATATATTAGCAACAGAATTGAAATTCCGTCGGTAATTAACGGCGGAATTAGAATTCTGTCGGTAATTAAAGATGGAAAAATTTCATCAGTAATTAGCGACGGAATTATGATTGCGTCGCTAATTCCGTCGATAATCCAATTAGTGACGAAAAAATTAGCGACGGAACCAATTCCGTCAATAATATGATTCCGTCGCTAATTTCGTTGCTAAATAAAAATTCTATTAGTAAATTCTGTCGCTAATCAGATGTTTTTTGGTAGTGTTATTGGAACATGTTGACAGGTATAACTGTTGGATTCGACAAGTACAACAAAATATAAAATATGACATTGTATCAGATTACTTCCATATTTAATCTACCTGTCATTTCATATACTTGTATAATGTAATTATACCAAATTCACAACCCTTCTAAAAAAAATCATGAGTTGCATGTATATCTAATGACTTCTTAACTTGAGCTGTATTTAGTGACATTAACAAAAAAATTATTGTTACATATATTCACAAAAATTTTATCACATACAACTTGACCTACGTTCAATCCTCAAAATATCTCTCAGAGTTCCACTATATTCTCTAAGATTCAACTACATTCTTACAACAGTACAACATTTTAACAAAGGACATTTATGTAAATATATTTTTAATTTTATTTAAGCCCTTAGGTCATAAATAAAACTTCTCCATTTTGTAAAACTGCACTAAAATAAAGCTCCTTTAAGCTCTTTTCATTGAACTAAAGCGTCATTCTCCCTGAATTTGGAGCCAAATGAAGTCCCATAATTGGAAGAATTTTTTCCTGTCTTTTTCCCTTTCACTTAAGTAATGTTGAGTTTTTGACAATTTAACGCACAACTTCGTTTGACTGCAGTCAAATCTCGCGTTTAGCTACTAATATGTGTACATTCAAAATGATGTTAAGTTCACTGTTTAGTGAATCTATTGTATTTTTTAAGACGTAAAGAAGCATGAGATGCTCTTGCCTTCACTTTTATGTAAAATTAAAATATTAAAAAATATTAATCAATTAAAATATGAATTTAATCAAGATGCCTTATTTCCACATAAAAAATTCTGGCACCTTATCTAGTTGTTCCGTACTTATTATTTTATCACTAGAAAAAGCTTATATTGACCGGTTAGAAGACTCTATTCTAATTTTTTATAAGCATAAATATCCTTCTCCTATTGGAGGTAATTATGTTTGAAACATTATCGGGTACTAAATGTGAACACCTCTTTAATAAGAATTCGAATCTTAATTCGTTATATTATGAGGGACTCTATTCTAATATACTCAAATTGTTTTTTCTGCCAACTGTCTATTGTAATATTTATTCGAATATAGATAAACATGAGCAAGCACACCATTTTTATTGTTGACGCTACCAGCAATGAAAACTTCAATTAACACAGTCACATTACTAAATTTGTATTAATATTACTTTAATATAATTAAGAATTTTCTCTAATTGATTATATATTTATCTGAAATGTTTTTAGTAAACAATATTCACAAAGTTAAATTTTTGCATAACAAAAATCTTTATACTTATATATACATACTCTCTCTGGTCCTTATTATAGGGCATATCATCTATAAGGAATTTTTGGTATAAATATAAGTCATTAACCAACTCATTAATTGTCACTTTACAATTTTTCTCTCGTCAATAATTTATGTTTAGTATTAAAAAACTTATCAAACTCCGGATTTATCTATCTGCATAATCTAAATTGAGGGTAATCATGAAAAATATGAATAATTTAGGACAAATTTAATGCTTTAACAATCATTTTTTGCTATGTGAGAATTAGTTAAGAATGTCTTATAATAGGATGAGAAGGAGAGTACACATATACATCTGCAAGTCCTTATAATTCATCTCAATTTTGACTTAGTCTGGAATTTATTTTATTTGAATTGAATCCTTATCGTTTGATCCTTATAATGAATGGATAAATTGTGTTAACTAAAATTAAAAAAAAAAGTCATAAAGTCCATAAAATTCTATAAATTAACATCAAGGGATTTTACACTCAAGAATGAATTATAAGGGTACAAATTAAACAAAATAAACTATACAAACTTGATTCAAAATTCAGAAAAACTATAAAGAACTATGAATTATTTTTTCCAAAAACATACGTAAACTGTAATATAAACTATATATTGTACCTTACTCCTTCAAGCTTATGATGCACGATGCTTGAAATGTAATTACCATTTTATTTTTCAACCAGAAGAAACTATTCCATGGAGAATAAAGTAAATTAGTCTCTATTTTTAAGCAGTACAACTCTCCAAATTTTTATATTTTATAGTGGCATTCACTTATAATCTAAAATATCATTACTGCATATGAACACGCGTCTAGTCATAGTGGGAGACATTGGATTGAAAAGAAGGGAAAGAGGAAGAGAATACGAATCCATATTGCTATCAACTAATATAAACAAGAAGCTACATCCAGCCTCTAGCCAACAACCCATTTTTAATTGGCCGGAAAGAAAAACAACAACATCGTCAAACCATGCATTTTCACATTCTTGGAAACTATTACACCAACTTTCTATGAAAAATTAAAGGATCAAAGAGGAATTCTAGTCCCAAAGCACCCCATAAGGCGCAATTGCCATATATGCTTAGGTATTTAATGGCGCGAAATTCTCCCAAGTCTCAACGTTTTTAAAATAAAGCAAAGTTGCCCAAATTTAAAATCTAGAGGTAGTATTATATGAAACCTTGTGTGTGTGTGTGTTTTTTTCCCCCACATAACAAAAAGTTTGGTTGAGTTGGGTTCCGTGGCCTCATCAAAGACAGGTCATATCTCCAAGTTTAAAGAATATTTATAAAGGAACTTATTGATCGCACACCAACAAAGTTTTCACATTGATAATGTGATTTGAACTCATGACCTTGTGGGTTATAAAACAACTTCTTACCATTTAGAGCAACTTATGTTTGCGAAACCTTGTGTTTTTTTCCGATTTAGTTGATGTTATGTGGTTCATTTCTAGGTTTTCGTGGAACACCAATTTTGTTATGTTTTTGTTTTACCTACTAATAAATTTAGTTTAAAAAAAAGTGAGGTGGATCTGACATAGACATACCATACAAGCATAATCAAGTCATCTAATAAGCAAATGTTAAAGTCTAATAGATTTGGACAACATTACACCACTTAAAAAAAAAAAAACAAGAGAACATTGCACCATAAAATATTTAGAACAACAATTGCATCTTTAAATATTTCGAAGATAGAATCGCCTTCATGAAAGCAAATGGAGAAACGAAACTAGCCCAATTTTCTTCGTTATGAGAAAATTACATCCAATGACCCAAGTCTTAAATTATTTAAATTAAAAAATCTTAAAAAATATACTCGTTTCAGTAAATTTCATAACATCCACTGTACTATTTTTAAAAAAATACTTATACTAATTATTTTTATACTATTTAAAATAAGGGAAAATCCCAGAAAAAACCCTTGGAATATACCAAATCCCAGATTGGGCCCTTAAATTTCGAAAATGACAGAATGGGTCATTGACCCAATTTGTCATTTGTGAAATTCAGGCAAATTGACATTTTTGCCCCTGAGCAAAAGTGAGTAGTTATTCTCTAAACAAATCTAGGTAACGCTTATACTGTTCTAGTGATTACAAGATTCGTTGTAGTTAATAATAAGATACCTGACAATAATAAGATACCTGACTATGAAAAAATGAGTAGTTATTCTCTACACAAATCTAGGTAATGCCTACATTGTTCTAGTGATTATAGCATTAGTTGTAGTTAATAACAAGACACCTGACTATGAAAAAGTGAATAGTTATTCGCTATACGAATCTAGGTAACACCTAAACTCTTATAGTGATTCCTTGAATCATTATAGTGAATGAATAAATGAGGGCAAAATTGTCAATTCGCCTGAATTTCACAAATGACAGATTGGGTCAATGACCCATTCTGTCATTTTCGAAATTTAAGGACCCAATCTGGCATTTCCCATATTCCAAGGACCTTTTTTGGAATTTTCCCTTAAAATAATATTAATTTAAAAATTTTAAAAAAACAATTTTTAAAGAGAAAACAAAAACATTTTAACATTGGGTCTTTAAATGTAATTTCCCTCCTTCTTCCGTCTCGTGCACAAGTGATTCTAGAAAAGGGCTTTTTCTGCTCTCAAAGTCCGTAGCACTGAAACCCTGAGTAAACTCCAAAGCTATTCACATACTGTTGTGCTCTCACTGTTTCATCCTCTACCTCTTCATTCAACCCTTCAATCTGCATCACAATCCCTCCAAATATCACTATTTTGCTATTTCAACTGATAATAAATAACTCCCCAGCTCATCCAACGGCAAATAATATTATATACACATACCCCCGTGCACTTACCCAGAAAACATCTTCATCTTCATCTCTGGTTGAAAATGTTGCCTTAGGATTTGCAATCTCAATGGTCTCGTCGTTTCTTGCGAATCTTCCACGTATGCGAGGTCTATTATCAGCCAGTGTCTTTCTGCATGTATACTGTCACCATGGAAGTAACAGAACGATATAACTAGTCATTCAATTTTGTTTAATCTCCTCTTAATTATACATACTATATAACACAAACTAAAACACAGCAAATTCATCATCATCCGTATGAAGTTCGATAAGGTAGGGAATTGTTTTTATTTATGTACTTTGATGGTTTTGTTGAAGTTCCTCTGGCTTCTCTTGGCTCTATATTTAGAGATTTTCTCCTTCTTTTCTTGTGCACTGTAACGTCCAACTTTGAAGCTTGTTTCTTCAGTGTGTGAGGTCTGAGTTTCTTGGATATTCTGAGAGAGAAATGAAAGAAGAAACTTGAAGTAAAGCAACACAGGGGAGAAGAGGGGATTAGAGAAAGAGATGAACAGAGAATAAAAATAAGCTTACCTGCAAATCTCCTGTACTGCAGACTTTTCTCATTTGAGGAGCGAAGAAAGTGTGATCTGGTGGGCTCAAGGCATGGCTTTGGATAAATGAAGTTTCATAGAGATGATTTGGGAAGAGAAAACTGGGTTTCCCGTCAAAGGATTTACTGCTTAAGCTCCTTTGCATGATGAATTCGGCCACATTTTCAGAATCTCCGTTCCTGTAACTCTTGCAAACTAAGTTCTGATTATGACTATAATCCGAACTGGGAAAAATGTTGCATTTTACGTTATTGCCGCGAAGAACAGAGGAATTTCTGAACTCTGTTTCTGGGTTTGTTAGATCAGGTAGGATGGTTTTGGAATGGTGAAGGCTAAGATTTCGAAGGAACGTGCTTGGAGGTGAGAAGGAAAAGAAAGAAGGGCATTCTTCTTCTTCTTGGTGAAGTGGCAAATGGCAAGGTGCAGAGGAAAGAAAGGGAAGGTCCTGGCTTCCATTGGAGAGGAATTCTGGGTTTGAAGGAATGTGGAAAGGAGCTTCAAAGGCATAAAGATCAGAAGACATGGAAGATGAATTCTGAATCCAAAGTCGTTATTTCAATTGGAAAGAAGATTCTCTGATTGATGTATTCGTAGGACCTGGACTATTGTCTCTGGTACTTATGCAATCACGCCCCCTCTCCCCCCTCTCTCGACCACTTAGGAGGAGGGAAGTCGAAAGAAGCTACGGTATATAAAGAGCTAAAGAAGTCATCTCTTCAAAATTGCCCCCGTACCTTCTACATTCTCAAAACTGCCCAAACCAGGTGTCGCTTTGTCTAATTCATTATCTTGTTTAAATGAAATCTTCTGCTACATATGGTAAAGAAAAATAAAAAATAAAAAATGAAATTCATCTATATCATATGTCTTACTTTTAACATTAGTCCCACAAAAGTCAGTTTAGGAATTCATGGATCACATTCAGACAAGTCCTATAAATGGTACTTAATTTCCACTAAGACCTAAAAGATTTTGAAATTTTAATTAAGTACTAAAATATAAAAAAAATTATTTTTCTTTGTGAAATGATCAAAATGTCTTACTTTTTTCTTAAGCAAAATTTCAACTCAGCTGATAACTGAGGCTATTTTGGGAACTCAAATATCTCATCACCATACTCATGATTATTTCTTGCTCTCTTTGATGTGTGTATAATACTGGAAAAAAGACAATAAAATATCCTGAAAATTATTAAATGACAAATCAGTACGGGTGAATTTTAAAAACCCAATTCAAACTACTTGTACTATTTTGAAGTTTTTTAATCTTGCAAAATTATGTGAATACCCTTGACTATGTTTTTTGTCCTAATATTACGACCTCAGCACCCTTAGCTGATTTCCAGCCGCCGGAGCTCCGATAACTACTCTTTCTTATATATTGACTACTCTTTTTTTTAGTTATTGACCATATTTGTTTTTAGAATTTCAATGACTACTCTTGTTTTAGCTACTGACTATTAAAGTAGTAGCTTCACACAAGAGGGGATGATATTAAAAATTTAAAAGCTTAATGCAACTAAAATAAATGGAGTAATTGAGAGAGAGAAAGATATCACCAAAGAAATAGATAAGGAGAGGGAAGACACTAGCGTTACATATCGGTTCGGTCCAGTGATTAGACCTACGTTTAGTCCCCAAAGCATCTCTAAGAGTTCCACTATAATCTCCAAGATTCAATTAGCTCTTGATGTCTCAATATAGCAATTGATACCTCTCAATTGCTCTTGCTTACTTCCTATAAAGATATAACCCACTCAAGATTCTCATAAGAGTATGATGACGGCTTTTATAATCTCTTACAGAGTATGAATTCTAAACACTGAAGTTTAGGTAATTAAAAAAAAAACAAAGTAATGAATGAATGAAATAAATGCAGTAGAATAGTAATTCGTGTTCATTGCTCCATTGAATGCTCAACCTATTTATAATTGATCATTGCTAGTTACTCGTTAGACACCAAGCATTATATATGTTGTCAAAGAAGGTTGAGTAGGTCAGTAACTTGTAACAATTAAGTTGTATTTAATATTTTTGACATAAAATAGCTAACGAACATCATTTATTTGTTGAACCTTTAATCTTGCTCAAATCATGTTATGAGAGATTTATCAAGTCATTAATATTAAAGAACAATTGTAACTTTGAGTTGCAACACAAGTTCTTTAAGTTATTAAAAGATTAAAATTAGTCAGACTGAATAATGTTACTTGATAAAATTTTTATGAAGAAGGCTAATCAATAAAGTTCTTGAGAAAGATCAAGAAAAAAAAAATTTACTAAGTTAAGAGCTAAACTCCAAACTTGAATTCAAATGCGAGAATATAATATCTTGAAAAGTTTATTGAGAACCACTTGTAAATATCATTTTAAATAAAACAATTTAAAAACATTGCTTAGGAGAGGTTTATGGATAACCAAAAGGAAGTTTTAGATCATAATGCCAAAAACTTATTTATCTTATCAAGAAATAGATTTCTTGATAATATTTTGGGAAAATTACACACAGATCCCACAAAAGACATTAATACTATAAGGTCTTTTAAAATCTTAAAATAAATAACAAGTCCCAAGGGACCTGCAGATAATAAATTTCATTTTTGATATTACCTACTTATCCCCATTAATTTGATTCTAAATATTTTCCCCGACTCAAACCCTTGGCTGCTCTCTTTGCTTATCGAGACCATCTTCGTCTTCACGACTGCCCCAAATCACTGTTAGTGTCCTCAGTGCCAACTCTCAACCCAATCCTCATGGCCTTTATCTTATGTGTGGATATAGTCTCTTAGGTGAAGCAAGGAACAATAGCATAAAGAGAAGACCAGTGTTTCAAGAAACGTATTATCTTTTGCTTCTTTCAAAATCTCTCAGACTATGCCTTTTTCCGTCGTAACTCACTATCATCTTTTTGAGGTTCAATTTCTCTAAATTTCCCTCACTATCAATTTGGTTGCTATCCTCTTTTTCTTATAATTTCTTTGATAAATAATGTAGTTTGAATATAATATCACTTGAACTGGAATGATACAATATTGGTTGAGTCTGTGATTATTTCTTTTTGTGCTTACTTTCTTCCTTGATATGATTATTTGCATAGGATCCTGAATTACGTTGGAAAAATGATTTAGAGTATCTACTACTGTAATGTATTTTGCATCTCCTTTATTTATGATGATCATGAAGAAAGTTGAGTTGATTTCGCCTCGATTCAATTGCTAGGGTTGTTTAATATAGATTACTGTATCATTCCAAAACCAAATAACCCCTTTTTTTTTTTATCTTCTTTGATATGCTCACTTGATCAGTGCTCCCCCACCCTTTATTTATGTTATGTCATATTTTTGAATTGGATTGGCTCAAGGTCTATACATTGGTTGTAGTCTTGTAGCAATTGTTGAGCATCAGCCAACTGGACATATATCGTCTTGCATCTAAAATCTCAATAGCCCATCATTTAAGTGGAGCGACACCTAATCAAATATTTTTATGTTTTTCAGTTTATCATGGATATTGGTTTTCTTTGGATGCATTTTGTCATTGTAGCAACATTATCATATTATTATTTGAGGTGGTGTCATATAAGATAATAATAATTATATTGGCGTCCCTCCATGTGTGTGTTGTGCCCATCTAACCTTAAGATTTTTCATTCATATGTTTTTTTTAAATGCTAGGGTGACTTACTCTAATTCAATTGAATTCTCTATTACAGTAATAGAAAACTGAAGTTTCTGTAGTTAAATATGAAGAATACTAATAAGTATATTTTATAATTAAACAGGTTAGACTTTAGAATATATTCGGTTAAATTTATGAATATCTTATGTCTATTTAATTATCTTTTATGGATTTTTCTCTATCTAATCAATAATAGGATAAAAAGAAATTTTGCCACAAAATCTACTCACATCCTATTTTATTTTGTAGAAGATATTATAAGATTTCAGCAGAAAAAATATCAAATAAAAATATGAAAGAAAGTCAAGCCTGAACCGAATAAAAGAATTTAGAAAAATTACACAGAGGTCCTAAGGACCAGAATTTATTCAAAAAAGTCCCCTGAAGTGTCAAAATAAATAATAACTCCCATGGGGCTTAAGAGTAATATAATGTAAATAGGAAATTAGATCATTGTCCTGCCCCTAATTCAAGCAGTTAGAAACTTATAATGTGATGACAATATTTTTTTCGTTTTTATAGTTTAATAAAATGGCTAAAAGGTGTAAGAGCAAAGATGGACAAAGGCCTAGGAATTTCTCAGGATACATATTATTTACTGAAGAATTTTATGAGAAGAACAAGAAGAAGTTTAAATCTTTTGAAGAGGGCACTAACTCTGTGAAAAAAGCTTAAGGGGAGTTAACAAAAGAGGGGAAAGAACAATATGGTAAAAGTGCTAAAGAAATGAGAGTCCCACTAAAAGGGAAGAATTATATTGTTCCCCTCCTTACACGGTGTGCTTTGGTATAATTTGTGGAAGTTTGCAAGCACTTAAAGAAATGTGAAGATAAGATGGAAAGGCTAAAAAGAATTGGTTTTGATAAATTGGTTGAAATATGCTACTCACAAATTTATAGAGATTTTTGTGGTGAATTGATTCGTGCTTTTGAACCTGTAAGTAAGAAAATTTCAATTCGAGGGAAGACGCATGAAATGGGGCTCGAAGATGTAAATCAATTGATGGGCCTACCATTTGAGGGGTAGGATATTAAAGTAAATATGAAGAATGAAGATGAAACATTTAAGGAATTAAGTAGTGACTATAGGAAAGTGCCATACAAAACAATAGGAAGATGGTTGATTGAAGGAAAAGAGGATGAAAAGTTTGAATTCCTTTTTGTTATGTATGCATTAGGAGTCCTCTTGTGTCCTAGCTTTAGTATATAGATTTAATGACAAAGTGTTGAAGGTCACGGTAGAGACAAAGGATAGTTTAAGACAGTATGATTGGAGCAGTATTTTTAGAGAATTCTACAACTCAATTACAAAGTTCAAGAAAGGAAAGAAGAAAGGAAAAGCTAATGGGATAAAAAATACGGGAGGTTGCTTGTACTTCTTAATGGTAAGTGTGGGTATGATTCATTTACTTTGATGTTAGTTGTATTGTCAATGTGCTATGTGCTGTTATCAATGGGTGCTATGTATGTTGTAATTAGCTGCTCTGTATATTGTCACTTACTACTCTGTATGTTGTCATTGGCTGGTATGTACATTGTCAAATGCTTATGTGTATGTTGTGATTGGCTGGTGTGAAGGTTGTTATTGGCTTATGTGCTTGTTGTCATTAGCCTTTGTTATTTTGTCACTTGCTTATGTATAGGTTGTAATTAGCTTGTGTGCATGTTGTCATTGGCCTCTGTTGGTTTGTCACGTGCTTATGTATAGGTTGTAATTAGCTTGTGTGCATATTGTCATTGGCCTCTCTTGGTTTTTCACTTGCTTATGTATAGCTAGTAATTAGCTGTTGTGCATGTTGTCATAAGCCTACGTTGGTTTGTCATTCGCTTATGTATAGGTTGTAATTGACTACTGTGCATGTTGTCATTGGCTTATGTGCATGTTATGATTGGCTGCTATGTATGTTATAATTAGTTTATGTGCATGTTCTCATTAGCCTGTATTGG